GATAGATTAATTCAGCATGCAGGAAAACACTTCAAACTGAGAAAGCGATACTCCCTGAATTGTAACAGGCTCCAAAAACTCGGTGCCAAGCCACAAGCCCAAGCCAGTGCCCTTGAGGGGTGGGGGGAAATGTTAAGGTAGAAGCAAACAGTCTCGGTTTAGGTCTCACCGGTCAGCTGGATCTGTTAAAGGCAATTCTATGCCTTGGTTCACTGGATGCACATTTTGAAAGCAAAAGGAGCTACATAGTTAAAAATAGAGCCATGAGTAAAAATACCAAACCCAGGACTTGGGGAGGAGTTTGAAGCTGGGCTTTTGTGCAGGCCATTAGAGGAATTTTTAGAATTCCTACTCCCAGCAAATGCCCCCGAGCTCACAGATTTCTCCTCCCTTGCTTTACCTGCGCCAGCCTCAGCCTTGCGTGGCCGATGCACAGCCACCAATTCGGAGTTACAAACAGAACCCAAGAAACGTCGGACACTCCTTCATCAAGCTGCTTTTTCTGTTCAGGCTTAACAGAACTGCACAGCCCGAATTAACGAAAGAGGCTTTAGTTTTCACTGGTTAGAACTGTATAATCCTCCAGCAAAATTACTGCCATGAATTGCATACAGTGGAAGTTTCCCAAGTCATTAAATTCACTGACGTGCAGTGGAGGTATAGCCCAGCAGCGGGGTTTCCTCCACCACAGGGTCGAGAACTTCTTTCTAAACCTTGAAAGCAGCTTTGTGTTTTTCCTCAAAGGATTTCCAGTTTGAGATCTACATTCCTTACATTTAAGATTGAAATTTCTTCTGAGACAAGAAACATGAATTGTGTCAAGCTGTAGGAAGCACGCAGAAACACGAAGCTGCAAAGGCCAAACATTGAATAAGACCTTAACAACAGTTCACAAGCAGTTTTGATAGAGGGATGGCAAAAGGGAAAGGAGTCATTATAAAAGAATGGATGTCATTCTTTCCTGCTACATTATTTGTATTTTTTTATGTACACCAAACCAGCTCCTTCAAGGGAGGTGCCCCATTCACTCTAACCCTCAGGCTTCATTCCACAGCGGATCCATCTTTTTTTTTTTTTTCCTCGTGGTGTAACTTTCCAGCAAAACTTAAACACATTTGTTTCATGGAAACGCAATGATGTCATCCAGCTGATAACTGATGCACTCAACGATCAACAGAATTATTAATATGCATTAATGTTACTGTCAAAGGCAAGTGCTTTGATCTCACTGAAACAAAAGTCGCATTATTGGGACTGGTTTGCTTCCAGCATTTTTCCCCCCCCCTCAAAAAATTCATGAGCAATTTTGCTATTTCATCCTAAGTCAGGAGGAAAGGAAGCTTAAGTGTCAGAAATTCCCACAGAAACAAAATCTCGTGTTATGACCAGGTCAGGCTCTTCTCTAGTATTCAGTCATTCATTTATTTTTCTTTCTTTCAAGTCACCAGCTGCCTTCGCAGAACCGAAAAGTGCTTCCTGCCGCCGCGGTGAACCTGCCGACCTTGGCCGAGTTCAGTCGCTCTGCTGTGGCTGATGGAAGGTTACCGCGTTAGTCCTTTCGCATGTTCAAAGAAACAGTTCGTAGCGAGGAAGCTTTGCACATCTCGCAAGGTTGCTTTCGCAGGATATGCGGAGAGATGGATTTCAGCATTTAAATGTTGCGCATATAAACCACTAATAGAGAGTTCAGTCCAGGGGAACACGTACAAATCACAGACAAAATAAATCCTCCGAAATTTCTACAAGGAAGACTAGTCAACCTTAAAACTACTTATCAACTAAAAATTATTCAGCAGAAAATAAATACATGAACAGGTACCTATTGCAAGTGAGCCTTAATAAAAAAAAAAAAGCCAAGCCCTGGCACCCTTGTGGAAGAGAAACAGAAGCAGCTTTCTGCTAGGCTGGCAGAAACACTGGGAATAACAGTGCCTTGCTCTAATAAAACAGCTATGTGCAGCCTCTCCCAGAACATAACCTAAAGGTCCATACAATTACACATCCAAAATGTTACATCTTGGCCCCATTATGGAAAAAAACTGTAGGATTTCACTGTGCAAAGTTTGCTCCTTTGAGCATTGTAGAAGCCACTCCCTACCTTCCATCAGCTGCCATATGGGATGAATTATTTACACCTCATTAGAAACATAACAGCAGGCATTAACAGCACTGGGAGACATAAAAGGGAAAACAAAGCAACTTCAGGTTTTAAACTGAAGTCCTGTATTTTAGGTGTTATGTCCTGTAAAGGGGCTCATTGCCTTCTGCAGAGGGAGAAGAGCTACCTGTAAAAAAAGCTGTGCATTGCAATGCGTTCTGCCTCCTGATGGCAAATCTACACCTTTCATTCCAAGACGCGAATCCAGGCACAGGTAGACCAAAGGAGTCCGTACCTCTCCGCACTACACAATGCAATACGCCCTTCTGCCTGACACGACAGTCGTTGCCACACAGCTGCAAAGCCCCGTCCCTTAACCCCCAGCACGCTGGCTTGACCCACTGCTGTGCCTCCACCAGCAGGACAGGGCACTAAAAAAGAGACCTTGTCACAAACAGATATGGCTCTTCGCAATTAAATATTGTACTGCGTCCAGCTCTGGGGCCCCCAACATGAGAAGGGCATGGACTTGTTGGAGCATGTCCAGAGGAGGGCCATGATGATGATCAGAGGGCTTGGGCACCTCTCCTGTGATGACAGGATGAGAGTTGGGGTTGTCCAGCCTGGAGAAGAGAAGGCTGCGGGGAGACCTTATAGCAGCCTTCCAGTACCTGAAGGGGGCCTACAAGAAAGCTGGAGAAGGACCTTTTACAAGGGCATGTAGTGATAGGACAACGGGTAATGGCTTTAAACTGAAAGACGGTAGATTTGGAGTAGATCTAAGGAAGAAATTCTTCACTGTGAGGGTGGTGAGGCACTGGAAGAGGTTGCCCAGAGAAGCTGTGGATGCCCCATCCCTGGAAGTGTTCAAGGCCAGGTTGGATGGGGCTTTGAGCAACCTGGTCTAGTGGAAGGTGTCCCTGCCCATGGCAGGGAGGCTGGAACAAGGTGATCTTTAAGGTCCCTTCCAACCCAAACCATTCTGTGATTCTATGAAACATGGGACTGAAAAAAATTAAACATGTACCAGGACGTTTGCTAAGATGGAGGGACCAGATGCGAGCTCTGCCCTCCAGCTAGAGGTGGCACAAGGACTGGAAAGGCACCAAAAGATTCATGGGAAGAGCACAGTCCTGAGAGAAAGGACAGCTGGAGCAGAATCGTACTCAGGATAGGAAAATGGCACACTGGGAAGAAGAGGAAAAAACAAGTCTCACAGGTTCTAAATGTACTCTCCAAAAATCTTGTCTTACTTAATAGTCTACAACAACAACAAGAACAACAACAATAATAATAATAATTCTTGATTTCTGGAAAGAAGAGTGAAGTCTGTAGGAATACATATGAAATAAAACACCAGAAGAGTAGTATCGGGGGGGGGGGAACACACCACACGACACCCTTTTCCACAAACATATGATCCATCCACACCAAGGACTGTTTCCAACATACCTGTGCTGATGCAGCTCATGACAGCAGTGACTACAACAGACATCTCCTCCAGGTAGATCTGTAGTAGCTAAAGCAACTGTTTTAACAGTCTTCCCTACCCTGTCCCTCAGCTTGCACGACTGCTTCCAAGACTTCCAGTTCACCCCAGTTTGGGCTGGGTTAGGGCAGTCAGTTAAACATGCACTCTGTCACTCGGTTCAACTGAAGTGGACTAGGGAGCATCCACATGAGCACGTTTGACTGGCAGATCTTTGGTTAGAGCAAAGTTGCAAGTGACTTTTACCATCAGACATACCAATTTCCTTCTGATGCATCTATCCACTGTCCACCACAGTCCTTTTGAAAACCACCTTACACATCAATGATACATCAGTGAGGTCTGTGCAGTCCACTTCCAAGCCTATGAACTTGCTATTTTAAAAATCTGACTAGCTTACGCCAAGAATTTTATCTAATCTATTGATTCTGAGGACTTAAGTGTCAAAGGATTTATTCATGCTGATTGTTATTATGCCAAAGAATGGTATTTTAAGATAACAAGATGTAATAAACTCTGGGTTGTTTTTTTTGGTTGGTTGGTTTGGTTTGTGGTTTGTTTATTGTTGAGTTTCTTGGTGTTGTTGGTTTCATTTTGTTTGTTTGTTTTAAGAACTGTGGGGCTTCTTGAAGCTAACATTTTTATGTAGGTTTCTTCTTGATCATTAAACCATCTCTCTGGATACACAGTTTTGCCTAAAGTTTATTGAAAGCTACCAGGAGAGTTACCTGCAATTTGCACTGAGCCATCTTCTCCAAGAAGAATATTTCCTGCTTTCACATCCCTGCAGAAAGATAAAGCAACAATATGTGGAAGTCATTAAATCTTTCCTTCAACCAACAAAAATAAATTAAAAGGTTATTTCTTATATATTGTTTCTTGCATTAGCACCTCCTGCTTCCAATCACGCATAAACAGTAGGGACTTAACACCAATTGTAATTTCAGTAGACAGACACTAAGTGGTATTTGTATGATTTATAGCTAGTAGCATTGTAAGTACTGTGCACAGGAAAAAAAAAAAAAAAAAAAAGAAAAACTTACCAGAAGGTACCCTCAAAGATACAAGGAAAATGGTTTGTCCCAGGTTCTTAAGTTAGCTAAAAATGCGTAAACAGAACCTAGCACTGGTCTGATACTCATGTACCCTTTTAAAGGGGAAGATTTCAAGATACAGCGAGTTGATCCAGTCTCACTACCACTGAATGCATCCTATTCTTCCCCAGCCCCAAGTCTCATCACTCTCCAGTCCTGGAGGAGTTCACGTCCTTCCTCAGGAAGTCAGTTTAGTCCCATACACTGGTGAAAATCCAGAAGAAAAACATTGTTTTCTTAGTGAACTGAACAACATCACCAAGGGTCAGGTGAGCAGAGCTGGTACAACAGAGATGGTGAGAATGGGAAAATGGGGCCACTCAACGGCCCTGTGAGTCTCAACTTTAGTGGAAAAAGTCTCCCTCATTTTTTTTTTCAACCAAAGTCAACGAGCACACAAGAACATCCAGCATGTGCTATGAAAGGTATTGTACTATCCCCTTTCTACCCCAAAAAAAGCTCTGGTTTGTTAGGTTAACAGCAGCACTTCCCCATCCTCGAGGGGAACGCTACTTTCACTCCAAACATGCTTTGAAGTTTTACAGCTTATTTTCACAGGCTGCTCCCCACGCAAAGCCAAGAGAAGCACCTTTATAGCTGACACCCGTGTCCATCAGCACGGCTGCTAAGCTTGCGCTGGCTGGGAAACCATGCAGACCCGGAGCACGTGCAGGTGCTGTCTCAAGAAAGGCTGCAAGCAAAGCAACTGCCTGGGGAATGGATGCCAGTGAATAGATCGCAATTCACAACACACCTCACCTGAATGGCAACCACCTGCACAGAAAAGAAAAAAAGAAAAACCAAAACCCCAAAGAAGCAGATTCGCCCTCCACTGCCTTTGGCAAATATTCCAAACCCTTTCACACACAAAAAAAGTCAAAAGTTATTTTTTCTCTCCTCCCTCGTGCATCATGAGAACAGAACTGGCGCGATGGCCTGGCCAAAGAGCCCCGGTCAGGCCCTGGAAATCTCCTCCTTCCTGGCTTTGCTCTTCAGCAGAAGAGCCTGGGCCACTGCCAGTTCCAGGCCAGGATAATTTTAAACACATCCTCTCCAGCATTAGCATTGGTTAGATTCTTCCCAATACCCAGTCTAGGACATTGGCATGGCAAGGCTTTCCCCCAGCATACAGCAGAACAAAAGCAAGCAAAGACTGTCCCCAAGACAGTCCCACTAAAGATTACTTTAACAGCAAACCACGGCTGACAGTGGCCTTTAGCCTTCAACCAAGTATTTCGATCCTGCCAAATGTACACCACTCGCTAGCAGTGACCACCTTGGAGCCTAATCCCTGTTTGAAGCACAAGTGTAAGAGCAAGTACAGGAAAATACTAATTTGCTTTAACGATCAAGAACACTTGGATAGATCTATATGGAAATCCTGCAGTTGTATGGCGAGATAGCCTTGAGAGGCCGACGTAATAGCAGAATGGGGCTCAAAGCAGCAAGAAGCTGTGACAGTGATGCTGGAATAAGTAGACAAACATAAAACAAGCGCTGCCAGCCATCTCCCGTCCTGCTCATTTAAATTGGCCAAATACGTGAACGTGCGTCTAGGGACAAGTCAGCTTTCCCTCCAAGAAGCATTATTCTGTTTTCTTCCTGCAATTAACGGCTGCAGCCGTTGCAGACAAGAAAGCATCAGCACTGCAGTGGATGGAGACTCTTAAGTAGACCGAGGGACCTGAAGGGATTAAATACAACATTAAGCATGTAGCTACACTATCCCCCCTTAGCATCCGCTGGCCAAATCCAATACAATTAGAGTTGTAGAGAGTTAATCACTGTGAGAGATACAAACCTGACTAACCCCTGCACTCCCACAAAGCATTCACGGTCCATAACAGTGAGGGAATGGAAAAGCTCCCTGCCAATATTTAGGTAGAAGATGCCTTTGGGATCCAATCCCATGAGCACGTGGAGCCACGAGAGTGCAGTGCCCAAGTCTGCTGCTTCCTAGGTAAGGAGCTGGCTCACAGGGTGCAAAATGTGCTTGGCACAGGCGCGGCCATCTCCAGGAATCCCCCCTCGCACCAGCACTAATTCAGAGGGAACAGAAGGTGTTCAGGAAACTCTCCAATCCTACTGGAAATGTTTATCCAGACAGTCGGTTCTCCTGCGACAGCCAGGACACATGAGGCCTATTCAAAGCTGCCTGCCAGTTCCAGGTTATGGGGAAAGGAATAGCACACACCGAGGCTGCCTGTTGAAGTTATTGTTCCTCTTACTGCAGATGGACGCAAGTAACGGTAATCTCCTCTTCCATCTGTACTCCAAGGCAGCCCAGGACACCGGAGTGTTTCCTCAATAAGCTGGGCCGTGCCGTATTGTACGGACTTCCCAAACTTTCCCTGCCGGCACGACGGTGTGTGCAGCTCACCGAGCCCCCGCAGCAGACCGCACTCAGCCATCAAGCGCCAGGGAAGTTTTTAAGCAGAACTAAGGATGAAGTCTCAACCATCGTGCGCTTCAGAGTCCAAGAAAAACTCAGGCAGGTTTCACTGACGTAGCAACAGTGGCCAGAAAGCAGGAGGCATTCAATACCACCAGACCATCCTACCATAACAGAGCAAGCTGGGCAGGCTTGGAGTGCAAAAAGTAGTGAAGCAAGCACTTAGATTGAATCCCATAGGAAAAAAGAATGAAAGGACTCCAATCCCTTAACCCCCTCCAATGCAGAGGCTGTTTTCTTTTTAACTTCACCTTGGATTCATTAAAATTTACATATTTTCTCGTTGGAGACAAGTCAGTAAATATGGTGCTTCAAGCTGGTTCAAGTAAAACAAGTCGTTGTTACAATAAAAAATCCAGGAGGCCAACAACAGCCACTGCCAAATACCCAAGTCAAGCTGCAGAATGAAATCACCACTCGATGTGGCATTTCCCCGGGTGACCAGCCCTCTGGAAAGGCCATTACTCACCCCAGCCTGGTATACTCCACCCCGGAGCAGCAAAACGGATTGGCAGCAAGCTGCTCGGGGACACCGGCTCCGTTTTGGAGTTACTGTACCGAAGAGACAACTTCCAGCTTTCCCATTCCTCACCCCAGTGTATTGGCATCACGTCGCCCACTGCAACAGCACCGGGTGAACATCGAGCAGCAATAACACTGGGTGAACACAGGTGCCTTTCTTTAGCATATACTGGTATCACCGGCAGTATCTTCAAATTAGGTCCTCCTTTAAAACCATGTTTAAGATTAATTAATTGCATTTAAAGCAATGGGGTGGGGGAGAGAAGAACGGTGCTTTCCTGTTTATTCTCATCAGGAGATGCTTATAAACTCACAAGCTGAATGGCAAGAAGTTTGTTACTCCAGGATATAGTTATTGCCAAGTCTAACAATTTGAAGGTACTTCCTATTAATGTGGTAATGACCATATCCTGGGCTGATACACTTGGAATAAATGGTGTGCCTCTGGCATAATTACTATACTGGAAACAGGAAGCAGCTTTAGGCTGTAGCATAAACAGTAATTATACCACATTTTAAATTACATTACAGAAGGCTGGAGTAAACTCTTTCTTGCCAGTAGCTTAACAAATGCTACCGCAGTTCTGGACATTCCCGCTCCGTAGCTGTCATCTTCCTCTCTTCTAAAGCCTCCAAGAGACTTTCTGCAAAATAACGATTATGTTTTTATTTACCTCGTGCTTCACAACCAGAGTGGGAAGAGGGGTTTGGACCTGCTCCAGTGCAAAGCTGGATTCTCCACATCAGCCTTGAAAGTTTTCGCAGCAAGGCAGAAATCCCTCCTCATCTGCATTCCAAACTGGTTGAGCTTCCCAGTGCGACCAAACGCTGAGGTACCAGTTACATCACATTAACGCCTCCAGGTTAGGGCTGGACCATAAGCGTTAGAGGCTATGTAACTAAAACCAATTCCCAGTCCAACAAAATTACAATCAAGCATCCAGCTACAGGAGACTTGGGAGCACAGGAAGGCCATGAGATGACGCTCCCGAGTTTCAAGTGCAGCATTCCCACACCCCCCCCAATTAATTTTTCAACAGGGCGAGCTGGGGGAACTACAGGAACTGTATCCTAATGGCTTGTTCCCACCATAAAAAGCCTACACGTGTCCTTAAAGTCCTGTTAAATAATCAGATCTGCTTTCACCCACAGCCCTCAATCCTTAGCACCACCATATAGTGGTTGTCGTTGCAGTGACAACACTAAGGGAAAAAGCAAGACTTGCTGGTCCATAATGGAGAGCAGTGTTAGCAATAACCAGCTGCAACTCTGCAATCCTGGCATACGCAATAAAACTTCATATTACAGACTTAAAAGAACTGGCGTTTACAGAAGAAGCAACAGATTATGTTAAGTTATTGCTTTTTAAACAAGCCTTGTAATATTGTTTGGAAATCCAAAAGGACTCACTTGACTTGTGTCAAAAGTCTACATTGGGAGCAATAGCTAGGACAATTTGTTAAGGCCACCGCAACTGGGATACAAGTGACCTGAGCAAAGAGCGGCATCCCAGGATTTCTGTACCTAGCCCTGAGAAGAAAACTGTCACATGAAGGGAGAAATGGAGATAAACCCTGTTTATCATGCCTTTGCTTCCAACCTGGTCGTATGTGCCTTCAGGATGCAACGCTGTCAGCACAGCCGTGAGTCATCTGCCCAGTAGATGCAATTTGCATCAACTGTAACAATAAATTTTCAGGGACTGAACTCTATAGT